GTGGCCCCAGTGCGACTGCCTCATCTCCTTCCACTCCAAAGGTACGACTGATAATACGACTACTACTACTACAGATACTACTATAACTACTACTACAGATACTACTATAACTACTACTACTTAGACTACTACTACTACTACACTACTACTACTACTACTACTACTACTACTACAGATACTACTATAACTACTACTACAGATACTACTATTACCACTACTACTACAAATACTACTACTCTACTATACTACTACTACTATACTACTACTACTAACTATACTACTACTACTACTAATACTACTATTACACTACTACTACTACTACTACTACTACTATAACTACTACTAACACTACTACTACACCTACTACTACTATACTACTACTATTACTACTACTATACTACTACTACAGATACTACTACTACTACTACAAACTACTACTACTACACTACTACTACAGATACTACTATACTACTATACTACTATAACTACTACTAATACTACTTACTACTATATATACTACACTACTACTACTATAAACTACTACTATAACTACTACTACTACTACTACAGATACTACTATTTACTACTACTACTACTACTACTACTATACTACTAACTACTATAACTACTACTACTACAAATACTACTACTACTACTACAGATACTACTATAACTACTACTACTACACTACTACAGATTACTACTAACTATAACTACTACTACAGATTACTACTAAACTACTAACTACTACTACTAACTACTACTACTACTACTACTACTACTACTACTACTACTACTACACTACTACTACTACTACTAACTACTACTATACTACACTACTACTACTATATACTACTACTACTACTACTACTACTACTACTACTACTACTACTACTACTACTAACTACTATTACTACTACAGATACTACTATTACCACTACTACTACAAATACTACTATAACTACTACTACAATACTACTATAACTACTACTACAGATACTACTATTACCACTACTACTACTACTACTACAGATACTACTATTACTACTACTACAAATACTACTATAACTACTACTACTACAAATACTACTATAACTACTACTACAGATACTACTACTACTACTACAAATACTACTACTACTACTACTACAGATACTACTATTACTACTACTACTACAGATACTACTATTACCACTACTACTACAGATACTACTATACTACTACTACTACAAATACTACTATAACTACTACTACTACAAATACTACTATAACTACTACTACTACAAATACTACTATAACTACTACTACTACTACTACTATTACCACTACTACTACAAATACTACTATAACTACTACTACAAATACTACTATTACCACTACTACTATAACTACTACTACAGATACTACTATAACTACTACTACTACTACTACTACAGATACTACTATTACCACTACTACTATAACTACTACTACAGATACTACTATTACCACTACTACTACAAATACTACTATTACCACTACTACTACAGATACTACTATAACTACTACTACTACTACTACTACTACAAATACTACTACTACTACTACTACTACTACAGATACTACTATTACTACTACTACTACAGATACTACTATAACTACTACTACTACAGATACTACTATTACCACTACTACTACAAATACTACTATACTACTACTACTACATATACTACTACTTACCACTACTACTACTACTACTACCACTACTACTACAATGATACTACTATTACCACTACTACTACAAATACTACTATAACTACTACTACAGATACTACTATTACCACTACTACTACAAATATTACTATAACTACTATTACAAATACTACTACCACTACTACTACTACTACTATTACCACTACTACTACAAATACTACTACTGCAAATACTACTTTTACTGCGGCTAAACAAGCCCGTGGAGCAGTGGCCCCGGTGCGACTGCCTCATCTCATTTCACTCGAAAGGTACTACAAATACTGCACATACTACTGCTACAAATACTACTACTGATAGTACTACTGCAACTACTCTCGCAAATACTATTACCACTACTTTTACTGCCTCCTCTTCATCCACTCCAAAGATTCAAGTATCACTTGTTGTTGTGAACTGCAGGTTTTCCTCTGGACAAAGCTGTGGAGTACGTGAAACTGAGGAACCCCCTACTGCTCAACGACCTCAACATGCAGTACTACATACAGGACAGGTACTACTACTACTACTACTACTACTACTACTACTACTACTACAGTACTGCAGTACTACATACAGAACACTACTACTAAACACTACTACACTACTTACTACATACAGGACAGGTACTACTACTACTACTACTACTACTACTACTACTGCAGTACTACATACAGGACAGTACTACTACTACTACTACTACTACTACTACTGGTACTACATACAGAACAGGTACTACTACTACTACTACTAACTACTACTACTACTACTACGCAGTACTACATACAGAACAGGTACTACTACTTACTACTACTACTACTACTACTAACTACAGCAGTACTTACACTACTACTACTACTACTACTACTACTACTACTACTACTACTACTACAGGTACTACTACTACTACTACTACTACACTACTGCAGTACTACATACTACTACTACTACTACTACTACTACTACTACTGCAGTACTACATACAGGACAGGTACTACTACTACTACTACTACTACTACTGCAGTACTACATACAGAACAGGTACTACTACTACTGCAGTACTACATACAGGACAGGTACTACTACTACTACTACTACTACTACTACTGCAGTACTACATACAGGACAGGTACTACTACTACTACTACTACTGCAGTACTACTACAGTAACAGGTACTACTACTACTACTACTACTACTACTGCAGTACTACATACAGAACAGGTACTACTACTACTACTACTACTACTAACTACTGGACAGGTACTACTACTACTACTACTACTAACTACTACTACTACTACTACTACTACTACTGCAGTACTACATACAGGACAGGTACTACTACTACTACTACTACTACTACTGCAGTACTACATAACAGGTACACTACTACTACTACAGTACTACATACAGGACAGGTACTACTACTACTACTACTACTACTACTGCAGTACTACATACAGACTACTAGGTACTACTACTACTGCAGTACTACATACAGGACAGTACTCTACTACTACTACTACTACTACTACTACTGCAGTACTACATACAGGACAGGTACTACTACTACTACTACTACTACTACTGCAGTACTAGTACTACTACATACAGAACAGGTACTACTCTACTGCAGTACTACATACAGGACAGGTACTACTACTACTACTACTACTACTACTACTGCAGTACTACATACAGAACAGGTACTACTACTACTGCAGTACTACATACAGGACAGGTACTACTACTACTACTACTACTACTACTACTACTACTACTACTACTGCAGTACTACATACAGGACAGGTACTACTACTACTACTACTACTACTACTGCAGTACTACATACAGAACAGGTACTACTACTACTGCAGTACTACATACAGGACAGGTACTACTACTACTACTACTACTACTACTACTACTGCAGTACTACTACAGCACAGGTACTACTACTACTGCAGTACTACATACAGGACAGGTACTACTACTACTACTACTACTACTACTACTGCAGTACTACATACAGAACAGGTACTACTACTACTGCAGTACTACATACAGGACAGGTACTACTACTACTACTACTACTACTACTACTGCAGTACTACATACAGAACAGGTACTACTACTACTACTACTACTACTACTACTACTGCAGTACTACATACAGGACAGGTACTACTACTACTACTACTACTACTACTACTGCAGTACTACATACAGAACAGGTACTACTACTACTGCAGTACTACATACAGGACAGGTACTACTACTACTACTACTACTACTACTACTACTGCAGTACTACATACAGAACAGGTACTACTACTACTACTACTACTACTGCAGTACTACATACAGGACAGGTACTACTACTACTACTACTACTACTACTACTGCAGTACTACATACAGAACAGGTACTACTACTACTGCAGTACTACATACAGGACAGGTACTACTACTACTACTACTACTACTACTACAATACAGGACAGGTACTACTACTACTACTACTACTACTGCAGTACTACATACAGAACAGGTACTACTACTACTGCAGTACTACATACAGACAGGTACTACTACTACTACAGTACTACATACAGGACAGGTACTACTACTACTACTACTACTACTACTACTACTACTACTACTGCAGTACTACATACAGAACAGGTACTACTACTACTGCAGTACTACATACAGGACAGGTACTACTACTACTACTACTACTACTACTACTACTACTGCAGTACTACATACAGAACAGGTACTACTACTACTACTACTACTACTACTGCAGTACTACATACAGGACAGGTACTACTACTACTACTACTACTACTACTACTGCAGTACTACATACAGAACAGGTACTACTACTACTACTACTACTACTGCAGTACTACATACAGGACAGGTACTACTACTACTACTACTACTACTACTACTACTACTGCAGTACTACATACAGAACAGGTACTACTACTACTACTACTACTACTGCAGTACTACATACAGGACAGGTACTACTACTACTACTACTACTACTACTACTACTGCAGTACTACATACAGGACAGGTACTACTACTACTACTACTACTACTACTACTACTGCAGTACTACATACAGACAGGTACTACTACTACTACTACTACTACTACTACTGCAGTACTACATACAGGACTACAGACTAGGTACTACTACTACTACTACTACTACTACTACGCAGTACTACATACAGGACAGGTACTACTACTACTACTACTACTACTACTACTACTGCAGTACTACATACAGGACAGGTACTACTACTACTACTACTACTACTACTACTACTACTACTACTACTACTACTACTACAGTACTACATACAGGCAGTACACATACAGGACAGGTACTACTACTACTACTACTACTACTACTATACTACATACAGCAGTACTACTATAACTACATACAGGACAGGTACTACTACTACTACTACTACTACTACTACTGCAGTACTACTACTACAGAACAGGTACTACTACTACTGCAGTACTACATACAGGACAGGTACTACTACTACTACTACTACTACTACTACTGCAGTACTACATACAGAACAGGTACTACTACTACTGCAGTACTACATACAGGACAGGTACTACTACTACTACTACTACTACTACTGCAGTACTACATACAGAACAGGTACTACTACTACTGCAGTACTACATACAGGACAGGTACTACTACTACTACTACTACTACTACTACTGCAGTACTACATACAGAACAGGTACTACTACTACTGCAGTACTACATACAGGACAGGTACTACTACTACTACTACTACTACTACTACTACTACTACTACTACTACTGCAGTACTACATACAGGACAGGTACTACTACTACTACTACTACTACTACTACTACTACTGCAGTACTACATACAGAACAGGTACTACTACTGCAGTACTACATACAGGACAGGTACTACTACTACTACTACTACTACTACTGCAGTACTACATACAGAACAGGTACTACTACTACTGCAGTACTACATACAGGACAGGTACTACTACTACTACTACTACTACTACTGCAGTACTACATACAGAACAGGTACTACTACTACTGCAGTACTACATACAGGACAGGTACTACTACTACTACTACTACTACTACTGCAGTACTACATACAGAACAGGTACTACTACTACTGCAGTACTACATACAGGACAGGTACTACTACTACTACTACTACTACTACTACTGCAGTACTACATACAGAACAGGTACTACTACTACTGCAGTACTACATACAGGACAGGTACTACTACTACTACTACTACTACTACTACTACTACTACTGCAGTACTACATACAGAACAGGTACTACTACTACTGCAGTACTACATACAGGACAGGTACTACTACTACTACTACTACTACTACTACTACTACTGCAGTACTACATACAGAACAGGTACTACTACTACTACTACTGCAGTACTACATACAGGACAGGTACTACTACTACTACTACTACTACTACTGCAGTACTACATACAGGACAGGTACTACTACTACTACTACTACTACTACTGCAGTACTACATACAGGACAGGTACTACTACTACTACTACTACTACTACTACTGCAGTACTACATACAGAACAGGTACTACTACTACTACTACTACTACTACTGCAGTACTACATACAGAACAGGTACTACTACTACTACTACTACTACTGCAGTACTACATACAGGACAGGTACTACTACTACTACTACTACTACTACTGCAGTACTACATACAGAACAGGTACTACTACTACTACTACTACTACTACTACTGCAGTACTACATACAGGACAGGTACTACTACTACTACTACTACTACTACTACTGCAGTACTACATACAGGACAGGTACTACTACTACTACTACTACTACTACTGCAGTACTACATACAGGACAGGTACTACTACTACTACTACTACTACTACTACTGCAGTACTACATACAGGACAGGTACTACTACTACTACTACTACTACTACTACTGCAGTACTACATACAGGACAGGTACTACTACTACTACTACTACTACTACTGCAGTACTACATACAGGACAGGTACTACTACTACTACTACTACTACTACTACTGCAGTACTACATACAGGACAGGTACTACTACTACTACTACTACTACTACTACTACTGCAGTACTACATACAGGACAGGTACTACTACTACTACTACTACTACTACTGCAGTACTACATACAGGACAGGTACTACTACTACTACTACTACTACTACTGCAGTACTACATACAGGACAGGTACTACTACTACTACTACTACTACTACTGCAGTACTACATACAGGACAGGTACTACTACTACTACTACTACTACTACTACTACTACTACTACTACTACTACTACTACTACTACTGCAGTACTACATACAGGACAGGTACTACTACTACTACTACTACTACTACTACTGCAGTACTACATACAGGACAGGTACTACTACTACTACTACTACTACTACTACTACTACTGCAGTACTACATACAGGACAGGTACTACTACTACTACTACTACTACTACTACTGCAGTACTACATACAGGACAGGTACTACTACTACTACTAGTACTACATACAGGACAGGTACTACTACTACTACTACTACTGCAGTACTACATACAGGACAGGTACTACTACTACTACTACTACTACTGCAGTACTACATACAGGACAGGTACTACTACTACTACTACTACTACTACTACTACTACTACTACTACTACTGCAGTACTACATACAGGACAGGTACTACTACTACTACTACTACTACTACTACTACTACTACTGCAGTACTACATACAGGACAGGTACTACTACTACTACTACTACTACTACTGCAGTACTACATACAGGACAGGTACTACTACTACTACTACTACTACTACTGCAGTACTACATACAGGACAGGTACTACTACTACTACTACTACTACTACTGCAGTACTACATACAGGACAGGTACTACTACTGCAGTACTACATACAGGACAGGTACTACTACTACTACTACTACTACTACTGCAGTACTACATACAGGACAGGTACTACTACTACTACTACTACTACTACTACTACTACTACTGCAGTACTACATACAGGACAGGTACTACTACTACTACTACTACTACTACTACTACTACTACTGCAGTACTACATACAGGACAGGTACTACTACTGCAGTACTACATACAGGACAGGTACTACTACTACTACTACTACTACTACTGCAGTACTACATACAGGACAGGTACTACTACTACTACTACTACTACTACTACTACTACTGCAGTACTACATACAGGACAGGTACTACTACTACTACTACTACTACTGCAGTACTACATACAGGACAGGTACTACTACTACTACTACTACTACTACTACTGCAGTACTACATACAGGACAGGTACTACTACTACTACTACTACTACTACTACTGCAGTACTACATACAGGACAGGTACTACTACTACTACTACTACTACTACTGCAGTACTACATACAGGACAGGTACTACTACTACTACTACTACTACTACTACTACTGCAGTACTACAGTTGTGCTCATTAGTGTAGTTTCTGTGGTCATTGTGATTTTAAAGAATAAACACAGTAGTTTGATCATAAACGGCTTCACTCAAACACGAAGCACGAAACACGAGGGAAACAAAAGTGTTTGTGTTTTTATTCATTTTCTCTGAAAAATGAAGAAGAAATCAGAAATTCTGCCACAGTAAGTGAACTTATGAACACAACTGTATATTCACGACACGTACTGCTATAGGAGTCCAGTCCCGGTCCAGTCCCGGTCCAGTCCCGGTCCAGTCCCGGTCCAGTCCCGGTCCAGTCCCGGTCCAGTCCCGGTCCAGTCCAGTCCCGGTCCAGTCCCGGTCCAGTCCCGGTCCAGTCCCGGTCCAGTCCCGGTCCAGTCCCGGTCCAGTCCCGGTCCAGTCCCGGTTCAGTCCCGGTTCAGTCCCGGTTCAGTCCCGGTCCAGTCCCGGTTCAGTCCCGGTCCAGTCCCGGTTCAGTCCCGGTTCAGTCCTGGTTCAGTTCTGCTCTGTGTTGTAGGAGGCAGGTGTACAGGATTCTTCAGGAGGAGGGCATAGATCTTCCTCGATACGCCGTCCTCAATCGAGACCCGGACCACCCTGAAGGTACGACCTTTGACCCCGGGGTTAGGGGTCAAAGATACTTATCAATACTAAAACTTTTATCAAAACCTGATCCTCGTGTCGCTCAAGTCTGGATCCAAAAAAATCCCACTGACAGAACTGAGAAGAACCAAGCAGAACCGAGAAGAACCGAGAAGAACCCAGAAGAACGTTTCCTGAATGTGTTTAGATCAGGATCAGAACAAGAATAAGAGCAGAGAGAGACTAGTGTACACACATGGACCTGGTTTAGACCTGGTTTAGACCTGGTTTAGACCTGGTTTAGACCTGGTTTAGACCTGGTTTAGACCTGGTTCCTCAGATATAAAGACACATGGGAATAGAAAAGAAAGTTCTACCATTTAATGTGGAAAATCACACACACAGGGTTTTATTCACGTTTATATTGTTTGTACCGAGTATCGAGTCTGGTCCTGAGTATAGAGTATGGAGTCTGGTCCTGAGTATGGAGTCTGGTCCTGAGTATGGAGTCTGGTCCTGAGTATGGAGTATGGAGTCTGGTCCTGAGTATCGAGTATCTGGTCTGGTCCTGAGTATGGAGTATCGAGTCTGGTCCTGAGTATCGAGTCTGGTCCTGAGTATCGAGTCTGGTCCTGAGTATGGAGTATGGAGTTTGGTCCTGAGTATCGAGTCTGGTCCTGAGTATGGAGTATCGAGTCTGGTCCTGAGTATGGAGTATCGAGTCTGGTCCTGAGTATGGAGTATCGAGTCTGGTCCTGAGTATGGAGTATCGAGTCTGGTCCTGAGTATGGAGTATCGAGTCTGGTCCTGAGTATCGAGTCTGGTCCTGAGTATCGAGTCTGGTCCTGAGTATGGAGTATGGAGTTTGGTCCTGAGTATCGAGTCTGGTCCTGAGTATGGAGTATCGAGTCTGGTCCTGAGTATGGAGTATAGAGTCTGGTCCTGAGTATCGAGTCTGGTCCTGAGTATGGAGTATCGAGTCTGGTCCTGAGTATGGAGTATGGAGTCTGGTCCTGAGTATGGAGTATCGAGTCTGGTCCTGAGTATGGAGTATGGAGTCTGGTCCTGAGTATGGAGTATGGAGTCTGGTCCTGAGTATGGAGTCTGGTCCTGAGTATGGAGTCTGGTCCTGAGTATGGAGTCTGGTCCTGAGTATGGAGTCTGGTCCTGAGTATGGAGTCTGGTCCTGAGTATGGAGTCTGGTCCTGAGTATGGAGTATCGAGTCTGGTCCTGAGTATGGAGTATCGAGTCTGGTCCTGAGTATGGAGTCTGGTCCTGAGTATGGAGTCTGGTCCTGAGTATGGAGTCTGGTCCTGAGTATGGAGTCTGGTCCTGAGTATGGAGTCTGGTCCTGAGTATGGAGTATCGAGTCTGGTCCTGAGTATGGAGTCTGGTCCTGAGTATGGAGTCTGGTCCTGAGTATGGAGTCTGGTCCTGAGTATGGAGTCTGGTCCTGAGTATGGAGTATCGGGTTTGATGACATCAGGAGTTTGTGTTTTTTCTGCTGGGCCTTGACCTTCAGCTGTGGAGAGGAGCATCTTTGTAATGCAGCGTCTATTTTATTTTTACACCACACTGAAACAGAACCCTCCTCTACACGCCTATTTCAGTCCTGGTCCAGTCCTGGTCCAGTCCTGGTGCAGTTCTGGTCCAGTCCTGGTTCAAGTCCAGCTTTAGTTCTCAGAACCTCCAGAGATCCTCCCTGAGCTGCAGAGGCTGCACTAGCACTGAGTCAGGACTGGAGCAGGTTCTGGAGTTTAGTGAGAGACGTTCAGATCAGACAGAAACATTTTACCTTTAAACACACTGGATTTCAGCTTTGAACCACCAACCCAAATGAGTCATGTGACGCTCTTTCTGTGTTCTGATTGGAGAATCGTCCAAAACCAAAACACACAATTTTATGTTCAGTGTTTTTGTGATGAAGATTAAATCAGAGTTAGAACAGTTCTCAGTAAAAATTCGATTTGATTTAAACAGGTTTGAGGTGAAGGTTCTGTATTTAACCCATCCTCCAGTCTCTCCCAAAATGAGATATCGACTGAACCGATATCTTGGAGCCGATATGTAATCCCAGTATCTCCTCAGTGCGACACAAACCCAAAAGTGAGAAACATGAATTTAAGGTTCACTCAAAAACTAAATAAAAATACAAGTGAGTTTATTTAATGAGAGTGAGAGCTCCTAAAAACACTGACGACAGAGACCCGCCCAAACACTCACCAGACCCACAGTTAGTCTGAAGGTTCTGGACTGAAGCTGGAGGTTCTGGTGTCCTGAGCGATGTTAGTCCAGACAGATCCAGCTCCTTCAGATTCTGAACTCTGAACTGAGCCTGAACCTCTCCATTTCACAAACCTCCTTTTCACCACAGCAGCTTTATTCAACTGAAGCCAAAAATAATAAAATGACTGTTGGGTTTTGTTTAAGCCAGTCAGAGGCCAACGTAATACTGATACTGATACTAACACTACTACTACTGCTACTACTGTAATACTGTTGATACTACTGCTACTGCTACTGCAGTACTGCTGATACTACTACCACCACAGTACCAATACTAACATTTGTACTAATAATATAAAAATATATTTTTTTGCACTCAGAGTTCTACAGCAGGAACATTTAAGTCTGAGTTAAGGGGTCAGTGCGAGGGGGGGTCACGGTCTCACTGACGTGGGCATTTACAAACCAGGAACCTGAACGTGGCACCAAAAGAACCTTTTTCTCTACCAGTACTTACCGAAGGTTTTTGGTCTGTTTCTACTTGGAACTGAGTATTGGTTCAGTCCCGGTTGAGTTCCAGTCCTGGTTCTATTTCAGTTCAAATTCTGGTTTTGTTTCAGTCCTGGTATAGTTCTGGTTCTGGTTCAGTCCCGGTTCAGTTCTGGTTCTGGTTCAGTCCCAGTTCACTCCTGGTTCTGGTTCTGGTGTCTTCAGAGTGCAGTCTGGTGGAGGGGGAGGACCACGTGGAGGTGAATGGTGAGATCTTCCAGAAGCCGTTTGTGGAGAAACCGGTTTGTGCTGAAGACCACAACGTGTACATCTACTACCCAACATCTGCAGGAGGAGGCAGCCAGAGACTCTTCAGGAAGGTACTGCTCCTCCTCTGACCCTCTGACCCTCTGACCTCCTGACCCTCACCTCTGACCTCTGACCTCCTGACCCTCTGACCCTGTCCTCTTCTCAGATTGGCAGTCGTAGCAGTGTGTATTCTCCTGAGAGCAGCGTGAGGAAGACTGGCTCCTACATCTACGAGGAGTTTATGCCCACGGACGGAACCGACGTCAAGGTGAGACCACACCTGAGACCACACCTGAGACCACACACACCTGAGACCACACACACCTGAGACCACACACACCTGAGACCACACACACCTGAGACCACACAGACCACACACTGAGACCACACCTGAGACCACACCTGAGACCACACCTGAGACCACACCTGAGACCACACACACCTGAGACCTGAGACCTGAGACCACACACACCTGACCTGAGACCACACACACACTGAGACCACACACCTGACCTGAGACCACACACACACCTGAGACCTGAGACACACACACCTGAGACCACACCTGAGACCACACCTGACACACTGAGACCACACCTGAGACCACACACCTGAGACCTCCACACACCTGAGACCACACCTGAGACCACACCTGAGACCACACACACCTGAGACCACACCTGAGACCACACACACCTGAGACCACACACACCTGAGACCACACCTGAGACCACACACAGACCTCACACACCTGAGACCTCACACACCTGAGACCACACACTGAGACCACACCTGAGACCACACACACCTGAGACCTGAGACCACACACTGAGACCACACACTGAGACCACACACACCTGAGACCTGAGACCACACACCTGAGACCTCACAGACCACACCTGAGACCACACCTGAGACACACTGAGACCTCACACACCTGAGACCACACCTGAGACCACACCTGAGACCACACTGAGACCACACACCTGAGACCTCACACACACACACCTGAGACCACACGAGACCACACACACACCTGAGACCACCCTGAGACCACACCTGAGACCACACACACACACCTGACCTGAGACCACACACTGAGACCACACACCTGAGACCACACCTGGAGAGACCACACACTGAGACCACACACACCACACACCTGAGACCACACCTGACACACTGAGACCACACACACTGAGACCACACCTGAGACCACACACACCGAGACCACACACCTGAGACCACACCTGAGACCTCACACCTGAGACCACACACACCTGAGACCACACACCACCTGAGAGACCACACCCTGAGACCACACACACCTGAGACCACCTGAGACCTCACCTCACCTGAGACCTCACAGACCACCACCTGAGACCACACCTGAGACCTCACACCTGAGACCACACCTGAGACCACACACATGAGACCACACACAGACCTGAGACCACACCTGAGACCACACACACCTGAGACCACATGAGACCACACCTGACCTGAGACCACACCACCTGAGACCACACACTGAGACCACACAGACCACACACCTGAGACCACACCTGAGACACACCTGAGACCACACCACACACACACTGAGACCACACACACCCTGAGACCACACACACCTGAGACCACACCTGAGACCACACACCACTGAGACCACACCACAATGAGACCACACACTGAGACCACACACTGAGACCACACACCTGAGACCTCACACACCTGAGACCTCACTGAGACCCTGAGACCATCACCTGAGACCACACCACCTGAGACCACACACCTGAGACCACACCTGACCACACCTGAGACCACACACTGAGACCTCAGACCTCACACACCTGAGACCACACACACCTGAGACCACACACACACTGAGACCTCACACACCTGAGACCTCACACCACCTGAGACCACACACACCTGAGACCACAACACTGAGACACACACTGAGACCTCACCACCTGAGACCTGAGACCACACCTGAGACCACACAACACCTGAGACCTCACACACCTGAGACCTCACACACCTGAGACCACACCTGAGACCACACCTGAGACCACCTGAGACCACACACACCTGAGACCTCAACACACCTGAGACCACACAGACCACACACACCTGAGACCCACACGACCTGAGACCACACCTGAGACCACACACCTGACCTGAGACCTCACACACCTGAGACCTCACACACCTGAACCTCACCTGACCCTGACCTGAGACCACACACACCTGAGACCACACACACCTGAGACACACACCTACTGAGACCTCACCTGAGACCACACCTGAGACCTCACCTGAGACCTCACCTGAGACCTCACAGACACAGACCTGAGACCTCACACCTGAGACCACACCTGAGACCACACCTGAGACTCACACTGAGACCACCACACCTGAGACCACCTGAGACCACACACCTGAGACACACTGAGACCTCACACACCTGAGACCACACCACCTGAGACCACAACACACACCTGAGACCACACACACCTGAGACCACACCTGAGACCACCACACCACACCTGAGACCACACCTGAGACCACACACACCTGAGACCACACACACCTGAGACCTGAGACCTGAGACCACACACCTGAGACCACACACCAGACCACACCTGAGACCACACCTGAGACCACACACCCTGAGACACAACCTGAGACCCACCTGAGACACACACCTGAGACCTCACACAACCTGAGACAACACACTGAGACCACACACCTGAGACCAGACACACACCTGAGACCTCACACACCTGAGACCTCACACACCTGAGACCGTCACACACCTGAGACCTCACCTGAGACCACACCTGAGACCACCACCTGAGACTCACACACTGAGACCTCACCTGAGAACAACCCTGAGACCACACCTGAGACACCTGAGACCTCACCACACCACACCTGAGACACCACACCGAGACCACACACCTGACACACAACCTGAGACCTCACACCTGAGACCTCACTGAGACACACACACCTGAGACCACACGAGACCCACACCTGAGACCTCACCCCTACCTGAGACCACACACTCAGAACCCAGACACCTGAGACCTGAGACACACCTGAGACCTGAGACACACACCTGAGACCTCACCACCTGAGACCTCACACACCTGAGACCTCACCTGAGACCACACACACCTGAGACCTCACACACCTGAGACCACACCTGACCACACCTGAGACCACACACACCTGAGACCCACACACCTGAGACCTGAGACCTCACCTGAGACCTCACACACCTGAGACCTCACACACCTGAGACCACACACACCTGAGACCTCACACACCTGAGACCTCACACACCTGAGACCACCTGAGACCTCACACCTGAGACCACACCTGAGACCACCACACCTGAGACCTCACCACCTGAGACCACACAGACACCTGAGACCACACCTGAGACCACACACACCTGAGACCTCACCTGAGACCTCACCTGAGACCTCACCTGAGACCTCACCTGAGACCTCACCTGAGACCTCACACACCTGAGACCTCACCTGAGACCACACCTGAGACCTCACCTGAGACCTCACACACCTGAGACCTCACACACCTGAGACCACACCTGAGACCACACCACACCTGAGACCACACACACCTGAGACCACACACACTGAGACACCTGAGACCTGAGACCACACCTGAGACCACCCACCTGAGACCTCACACACCTGAGACAACACACCTGAGACCTCACCTGACACCTGAGACCACACCTGAGACCTCACACACCTGAGACCTCACACACCTGAGAACCACAGACCTGAGACCTGCACCTGAACCTCACCTGAGACCACACACACCTGAGACCTCACACACCTGAGACCACACACTGAGACCTGAGACCACACACACTGAGACCTCACACCTGAGACCTCACACCTGAGACCACACACCCCACACACCTGAGACACACTGAGACCACACACACCTACCACTGAGACCTCACACACCTGAGACCACACACCTGAGACCTGAGACCTCACCACCTGAGAACCTCACACACCTAGACCTCACACACCTGACCGACCTGAGACCTCACACAGAGACACACTGAGACCACACACCTGAGACCACACACCTGAGACCACACAACATGAGACACACACCCTGAGACCTCACCTGAGACACACAACCTGAGACCACACACCACCACTGAGACCTCACCTGAGACCTCACACCACACTGAGACCACACACACTGAGACCACACACCTGAGACCAACACCTGACTGAGACCTCACCTGAGACCACACTGAGACTCACACAACCTGAGACAAACTCACCTCACACACCTGAGACCTCACACACCTGAGACCTCACACACCTGAGACCACACACACCTGAGACCTGAGACCTCAACACCTGAGACCTCACACACCTGAGACCACACACCTGAGCCACACACACCTGAGACCTCACACCACCTGAGACCTGACCTGAGACTCACCTGAGACCACACACAGAACCTCACACACCTGAGACCACACCTGAGACCTCACACCTGAGACCCACACACCTGAGACTCACACACCTGAGACTCACCTGAGACCACCTGAGACACACACCTGAGACTCACACACGCTGAGAGAGACCTCACACACCTGACCTGAGACCTCACACCTCACCTGAGACCTCACCACCCTGAGACCTCACAGACACCTGAGACCACACACTGAGACCTGAGACCACACACACACCTGAGACACACCTGAGACCACACCTGAGACCACACCTGAGACCCACCTGACCTCACACCTGAGACCACACACCTGAGACCACCTCACCTGAGACCAGACACACTGAGACCTCACCTGAGACCACCTGAGACACACTGAGACTCTCACAGACACACAGACACACCTGAGACCAGACACACACCTGAGACACACACACAACACTGAGACCACACACACCTGAGACCTCACACACCTGAGACCACACACACCTGAACCAGTTGAGACCTCACCTGAGACCCACACACCACCTGAGACCTCACACCTGAGACTCACACACACCTGAGACCTCACACCTGAGACCTCACACACTGAGACCTCACCTGAGACCACACACACCTGACCAACCTGAGACCACACACTGAGACCTCACTGAGACCACACACACCTGAGACCTCACACCTGAGACCACACACACCTGAGACCTCACCTGAGACCACACACACCTGAGACCTCACCTGAGACCACACACACCTGAGACCTCACACACCTGAGACCTCACCTGAGACCTGAGACCTCACCTGAGACCTCACACACCTGAGACCACCTGAGACCTCACACCTGAGACCTGAGACCCACACACACCTGAGACCACACACACCTGAGACCTCACACACTTGAGACCTCACACACCTGAGACCACACCACACTGAGACCTCACACACCTGAGACCACACCACACTGAGACCTGAGACACACACCTGAGACCTCACACTGAGACCTGAGACCACCTGAGACCACACCTGAGACACCTGAGACCACCTGAGACCTCACCTGAGACCTCACACACCTGAGACCTCACACACCTGAGACCTCACACACCCTGAGACCTCAGACACCTGAGACCACACCTGAGACCACACCTGAGAACCTCACCTGAGAACCCCTGAGACACTGAGACCACACTGAGACCTCACCCTGAGACCACACACACCTGAGACCACACACTGAGACCACACCTGAACACACCTGAGACCTCACGCTGAAGACCTCACCTGAGACCTCACACACCTGAGACCAACACACCTGAGACCACACCTGAGACCGACACACCTGAGACCTGAGACCCACACACCTGAGACCCTCACACACCTGAGACCTCACACACCTGAGACCTCACACACCTGAGACCCTCACACACCTGAGACCTCACCTGAGACCTCACCTGAGACCTCACACACCTGAGACCTGAGACCTCACCTGAGACACACCCTGAGACCTCACACACCTGAGACCACACACCCTGAGACCACACACCTGAGACACACACCCAGACCTGACCACAACACACCACCTGAGACCTGAGAACACACACCTGAGACCACACACAGACCACACCTGAGACCTCACACACCTGAGACCTGAGACTGAGACACACCTGAGACCACACACACTGAGACCTCACACACTGAGACCTCACACCTGAGACTCACACACCTGACACCTGAGACCACTGAGACACACACACACACCTGAGACCACACAGACTGAGACCTCACACACACCTGAGACCACACACACCTGAGACCTCACCTGAGACTACACTGAGACCTCACACACCTGAGACCTCACCTGAGACCTCAACCTGAGACAAACACACACCTGAGACCTCACACACCTGAGCACCCCTCAACACACCTGAGACCTCACACCTGAGACCACACACTGAGACCACACACCTGAGACCACACACACCTGAGACCTCACACACCTGAGACCACACACCTGAGACCACACCTGAGACCTGAGACCTCACCACACCTGAGACCTCACACACACTGAGACCACACACTGAGACACACCTGACCCTGAGACCACACACACCTGAGACCACACACCTGAGACACACACCTGAGACCTCACACACCTGAGACCCTCACCACCTGAGACCACACACAACCTGAGACCTCACACACCTGAGACCGACCACAACCTGAGACCACACACCTGAGACCTCACACACCTGAGACCTCACACACCTGAGACCACACCTGAGACCTGAGACACACACACCTGAGACCTCACACACCTGAGACCTCACACACCTGAGACCTCACACACCTGAGACCTCACTGAGACCACACAGACCACCTGAGGACCACACACACTGAGACCACACACACCTGAGACCACACACACCTGAGACCTCACACACCCTGAGACCTCACCTGAGACCTCACCTGAGACACACTCACACACCTGAGACCTCACCTGAGACCACACACCCTGAGACCACACGAACCACCTGACCTCACCCTGAGACCACACCTGAGACCCACACACCTGAGACCTCACACACCTGAGACCTCACACACCTGAGACCTCACACACTGAGACCTCACACACACCTGAGACCACACACACCTGAGACCTCACACTGAGACCACACACCTGAGACCACACCTGAGACCACACCCTGAGACGACCACCACACACCTGAGACCACACCTGAGACCTCACACCTGAGACCTCACACCACACCTGAGACCTCACCTGAGACCTGAGACCACACACACCTGAGACCACAGACCACACACACCTGAGACCTCACACACCTGAGACCACACCTGAGACCTCACCTGAGACCTCACACACCTGAGACCTCACACACCTGAGACCTCACACACCTGAGAACCTCACACACCTGAGACCTCACCTGAGACCACACCTGAGACCACACCTCACACACCTGAGACCACACACACCTGAGACCACACCTGAGACCTCACAACTGAGACCTCACACTGAGACCTCACACTGAGACCTGAGACCACCTGAGACCACAGACCACACACACCTGAGACCTCACACACCTGAGACCACACACACCTGAGACCTCACACTGAGACCTCACCTGAGACCTGAGACCTCACCTGAGACCACACCCCTGAGACCTCCACCTGACCTGAGACCACACTGACCACACACACCTGAGACCTGAGACCTCACCTGAGACCTCACCTGAGACCACACACACACCACACCTGAGACCTCACCTGAGACCTCACACCTCACACCTGAGACCTCACCACACTGAGACCACACACACCTGAGACACCTGACCTGACCACACACACCTGAGACCTCACACCTGAGACCACACCTGAGACCTGAGACCTCACCTGAGACCTCACAACTGAGACCTCACACACCTGAGGACCTCACACACCTGAGACCACCTTCCACACACCTGAGACCTTGAGAGACCTCACCCTGAGACCTGAGACCTCACACACAGACCTCACCTGAGACCTCACCTTGAGACCTCACACACCTGAGACCACACACCACCTGAGACCTCACACACCTGAGACCTCACACACACCTGAGACCACACACCTGACCTGAGACCTCACACACCCTGAGACCACACACCTGAGACCTCACCTGAGACCACAGACCACCTGAGACCTACACACCTGAGACCACACACACTGATGACCTCACACACCTGAGACCTCACACTGAGACCTGAGACCTGAGACACACACCTGAGACCTCACACCTGAGACCTCACACTGAGACCTCACACACCTGAACCTCACACCTGACCTGAGACCACACCACACCTGAGACCACACCTGAGACCACACACCTGAGACCTGAGACCACACACCTGAGACCTCACCTGACCTCACCACTGAGACCTCAACACCTGAGACCACACACCTGAGACCACACACTGAGACCACACTGAGACACACCTGAGACCACACACACCTGAGACCACACACACCTGAGACCTCACACACCTGAGACCTCACACACCTGAGACCTCACACACCTGAGACCTCACCTGACACCTGAGACCTCACACACCTGAGACCACACCTGAGACACACACCTGAGACCTGAGACCACACACTGAGACCACACCTGAGACCACACACACACCTGAGACCACACTGAGACCACACTGAGACCTCACACACAGACCTACACACACCTGAGACCTGAGACCTCACACACCTGAGACCACACCTGAGACCACACCTGAGACCACACACACCTGAGACCACACACACCTGAGACCTCACACACCTGAGACCACACACACCTGAGACCTCACCTGAGACCTCACACTGAGACCTCACCTGAGACCGACCACACACTGACCTCACACCTGAGACCTCACACACCTGAGACCCACCTGAGACCACACCTGAGACCACACAGACCTGAGACCTCACCTGAGACCACACACACCTGAGACCACACCTGAGACCACACACACCTGAGACCTCACACACCTGAGACCTCACACACCTGAGACCTCACACACCTGAGACCTCACACACCTGAGACCTCACCTGAGACCTCACCTGAGACCTCACCTGAGACCTCACACACACCTGAGACCACACCACCTGAGACCACACACACCTGAGACCTCACACACCTGAGACCTCACACACCTGAGACCACACCTGAGACCACACACACCTGAGACCTCACACACCTGAGACCTCACACACCTGAGACCTCACACACCTGAGACCTCACACACCTGAGACCTCACACCTGAGACCACACACACCTGAGACCTCACACACCTGAGACCTCACCTGAGACCACACCTGAGACCTCACACACCTGAGACCTCACACACCTGAGACCTCACACACCTGAGACCTCACACACCTGAGACCACACCTGAGACCACACCTGAGACCACACCTGAGACCACACCTGAGACCTGAGACCTCACACACCTGAGACCTCACACACCTGAGACCTCACCACCTGAGACACACTGAGACCACACCTGAGACCTCACACACCTGAGACCTCACACACCTGAGACCGCACACACCTGAGACCGCACCTGAGACCGCACCTGAGACCTCACACACCTGAGACCGCACACACCTGAGACCGCACACACCTGAGACCGCACACACCTGAGACCGCACACACCTGAGACCGCACACACCTGAGACCGCACACACCTGAGTCAGTCTGGGCAGGGCATCTGACTGTCGTGGTGGTCTGTTTCAGGTGTACACCGTGGGCCCAGACTACGCCCACGCTGAGGCGCGTAAGTCTCCGGCTCTGGACGGTAAGGTAGAGCGGGACAGCGAGGGCAAAGAGGTGCGCTACCCCGTCATGCTCAGCGCCATGGAGAAGCTGGTGGCACGGAAGGTCTGCCTGGCCTTCAAGGTAAGATCTGCCCCAGGAACCCGAGGAACCTGAGGAACCTAAAGAACCCAGACCTACTGCTGGACATACAGAGACACCATAACTGACTTTAAAGATCCTGTATTAGACAAAACGGACTCTTCTGAGCTTTAAGTCACCTGGAGTTGTGTTTTGTTTGTGTAACTCTTTATCATGAGTCTGTCTGTTCCACCTTGTGATGTCATGAAGTGGTCGTTTTCAACAGTCGTTTGACCAGTTTCTTTTCCCTTTAGTTCAGTCGAGATCATAATTCCAGGACTAAAATGATCCAGATGATTCTAGTGAAGGTGTGTGGAGTTTAAAAACACAGTGGAGCACTTCATGTATCACCACATGATGACATCACAAGGTGGGACAGAGTGTTTTCAGTTTGAGAAAAGAGCTCATGTTAAATGTGCAGGTTCGTGAGTTAAATATGTGAATGAAACAAAACACAACTCCAGGAGACAACAACAGAAGAGAGCAGAGGATTCTGGGACATTTAAAGGGACAAACCTCTGACCCTTTAACGAGACAAAGAGACTTTATTGATCCTGAAGGAAATTCAAGACCTTTTAAATTTAATAATTTAATTTAAACCTTGTTAAAATGTCATGACCTCCTCAAAAATAGACCCTCAAAATGTCTTCCATTTGTAATATTGAAGCAGGACCAAACCAGGTCTAAACCAGGTCTAAACCAGGTCTAAACCAGGTCTAAACCAGGTCTAAACCAGGTCTAAACTAGGTCTAAACCAGGACTAAACCAGGACTAAACCAGGTCTAAAACCAAGACTAAAACCAAGACTAAACCAGGTCTAAAACCAGGACTAAACCAGGACTAAACCAGGTCTAAACCAGGACTAAACCAGGTCTAAACCAGGACTAAACCAGGACTAAACCAGAGGTCCTTGGTCTTTGTTTTGCAGCAAACCGTGTGTGGGTTTGACCTCCTCAGAGCGAACGGTCACTCGTACGTCTGTGATGTGAACGGATTCAGCTTCGTCAAAAACTCCATGAAATATTACGACGACTGCGCCAAGATCCTGGGGTAAAACGAGAGACTGTTCTGTATCTTCTCCATCTCCTGTACCTCCTGTACCTCCTGTACCTCCTGTACCTCCTGTACCTCCTGTACCTCCTGTACCTCCTGTACCTCCTGTACCTCCTGTATCTCCTGTACCTCCTGTACCTCCTGTACCTCCTGTACCTCCTGTATCTCCTGTACCTCCTGTACCTGTACTCTGTACCTCCTGTACCTCCTGTACCTCCTGTACCTGTACCTCCTGTACTCCTGTACCTGTACCTCCTGTATCCCTCCTGTACCTCCTGTACTCCTGTACCTGTACCTCCTGTACCTCCTGTATCCTGTACCTGTACCTCCTGTACCTCCTGTACCTCCCTGTACCTCCTGTACCTGTACCTCCTGTACTCTGTACCTGTACCTCCTGTATCTCCTGTACCTCCTGTACCTCCTGTACCTCCTGTACCTCCTGTACCTCCTGTACCTCCTGTATCTCCTGTACCTCCTGTACCTCCTGTACCTCCTGTACCTCCTGTACCTCCTGTACCTCCTGTATCTCCTGTACCTCCTGTACCTCCTGTACCTCCTGTACCTCCTGTATCTCCTGTACCTCCTGTACCTCCTGTACCTCCTGTACCTCCTGTATCTCCTGTACCTGTACCTCCTGTACCTCCTGTACCTCCTGTACCTCCTGTACCTCCTGTACCTCCTGTACCTCCTGTACCTCCTGTATCTCCTGTACCTCCTGTACCTCCTGTATCTCCTGTACCTCCTGTACCTCCTGTACCTCCTGTACCTCCTGTACCTCCTGTATCTCCTGTATCTCCTGTACCTCCTGTAATCTCTCCTGTACCTCCTGTATCTCCTGTACTCCTCCTGTATCCTGTTCCAGATCCCCTGGTCCATCCCTACAGAAGCAGAAGACATCCCCATAGTGCCCACCACCTCAGGGACCATGTGAGAACTGACCCAGGACTGAACCAGGACTAAACCAGGACTGAACCAAGACTAAACCAGGTGTCTGTTGCAGGATGGAGCTGAGGTGTGTGATCGCTGTGATTCGTCATGGAGATCGGACGCCTAAACAGAAGATGAAGATGGAAGTCCGCAACCCCATGTACGTACCATGGTCCGGACCAGGCCTGGGGACTCTGGTCTGGACTCTGGTCTGGGGACTCTGGTCTGGACTCTGGTCTGGACTCTGGTCTGGACTCTGGTCTGGTCTCTGGTCTGGTCTCTGGACTCTGGTGTAGTTTAACCTGGTTTTCTTGGTGCTTTTGTGTTCCAGGTTTTTCGATCTGTTTGAGAAATACGGAGGATATAAAACAGGGAAACTGAAGCTGAAGAAACCCAAACAGCTGCAGGTCTGAGTCTCATTTATCACAAACAAACGAGACGTCAGGTTCAGTGTTTCTGTAACACGGAATTTACACCAGGAGCGTCAGAGAAACATAACATGACAGAGCTGCACATGCGAGTACTTTTAAAAACTTACACCAGCCTCTAGTGTATTCTCACGTTTAAACTCTAAACTCTGTGTATTCTCACGTTTAAACTCTGTGTATTCTCACGTTTAAACTCTAAACTCTGTGTATTCTCACGTTTAAACTCTAAACTCTGTGTATTCTCACGTTTAAACTCTAAACTCTGTGTATTCTCACGTTTAAACTCTGTGTATTCTCACGTTTAAACTCTAAACTCTGTGTATTCTCACGTTTAAACTCTAAACTCTGTGTATTCTCACGTTTAAACTCTAAACTCTGTGTATTCTCACGTTTAAACTCTAAACTCTGTGTATTCTCACGTTTAAACTCTAAACTCTGTGTATTCTCACGTTTAAACTCTAAACTCTGTGTATTCTCACGTTTAAATCTCTCAAACTCTGTGTATTCTCACGTTTAAACTCTAAACTCTGTGTATTCTCACGTTTAAACTCTGTGTATTCTCACGTTTAAACTCTGTGTATTCTCACGTTTAAACTCGAAACTCTGTGTATTCTCACGTTTAAACTCGAAACTCTGTGTATTCTCACGTTTAAACTCTAAACTGTGTATTCTCACGTTTAAACTCGAAACTCTGTGTATTCTCACGTTTAAACTCGAAACTCTGTGTATTCTCACGTTTAAACTCGAAACTCTGTGTATTCTCACGTTTAAACTCTAAAATCTGTGTATTCTCACGTTTAAACACTAAACTCTGTGTATTGTCACGTTTAAACTCTAAACTCTGTGTATTCTCACATTTAAACTCGAAACTCTGTGTATTCTCACGTTTAAACTCGAAACTCTGTATTCTCACGTTTAAACTCTAAAATCTGTGTATTCTCACGTTTAAACACTAAACTCTGTGTATTGTCCCGTTTAAACTCTAAACTCTGTGTATTCTCACGTTTAAACTCTAAACTCTGTGTATTCTCACATTTAAACACTAAACTCTGTGTATTCTCACGTTTAAACTCGAAACTCTGTGTATTCTCACGTTTAAACTCTAAACTCTGTGTATTCTCACGTTTAAACTCTAAACTCTGTGTATTCTCACGTTTAAACTCTAAACTCTGTGTATTCTCACGTTTAAACTCTAAACTGTGTATTCTCACGTTTAAACTCGAAACTCTGTGTATTCTCACGTTTAAACTCGAAACTCTGTATTCTCACGTTTAAACTCGAAACTCTGTGTATTCTCACGTTTAAACACTAAACTCTGTGTATTGTCACGTTTAAACTCTAAACCCTGTGTATTCTCACGTTTAAACTCGAAACTCTGTGTATTCTCACGTTTAAACTCGAAACTGTGTATTCTCACGTTTAAACTCTAAAATCTGTGTATTCTCATGTTTAAACACTAAACTCTGTGTATTGTCACGTTTAAACTCTAAACTCTGTGTATTCTCACGTTTAAACTCGAAACTCTGTGTATTCTCACGTTTAAACTCTAAACTGTGTATTCTCACGTTTAAACTCTAAACTTCTGACGTAGTTTTTCATTGTTGCTTGGGTTCTGTTGTGTTTTAAATCTCTAAACTAAAGTGTCAGAGTGGAGGTTTTGCAGTGATATTTAGACCTCACTCGTGTAAAGTGCTGTTCCTGTGGCGTCCTGCAGGAGGTGCTGGACATCACGCGGCAGCTGTTGGCCGACCTGGGCGCGCTCGTCGACTGTGAGATCGAGGAGAAGAAGTCCAAACTGGAGCAGCTCAAAACCGTCCTGGAAATGTGAGGAAGAACTTTTAAAGCTCCACTCTGGAACTTTCACTGGGTCCAACTGTTTGTCTTGGTGGAGTGTGCCGTCTCTGTCTGGAACGTTCCACAGGGCAGAGGGGCAGGTTGTGGTGGGGTCAGGTTACAGTGGGGCAGGTTGTGTTGGGGTCAGGTTACAGTGGGGCAGGTTGTGGTTGTTGGGGGTCAGGTTGCGGTGGGGCAGGTTGTGTTGGGGTCAGGTTACGGTGGGGCAGGTTGTGTTGGGGGCAGGTTACGGTGGGGCAGGTTGTGTTGGGGGCAGGTTACGGTGGGGCAGGTTGTGTTGGGGTCAGGTTACGGTGGGGCAGGTTGTGTTGGGGTCAGGTTATGGTGGGGCAGGTTGTGTTGGGGTCAGGTTACGGTGAGGCAGGTTGTGGTGGGGTCAGGTTGGTTGGGGCAGGTTTGTGGTTGGGGTCAGGTTACAGTGGGGCAGGTTGTGTTGGGGGGCAGGTTACAGGTGGGGCAGGTTGTGGTGGGGGCAGGTTACAGTGGGGCAGGTTGTGGTGGGGGCAGGTTACAGGTGGGGCAGGTTGTGTTTGGGGTCAGGTTACGGTGGGGCAGGTTGTGTTGGGGTCAGGTTACAGTGGGGCAGGTTGTGGTTGTGGGGGTCAGGTTGCGGTGGGGCAGGTTGTGTTTGGGGTCAGGTTGCGGTGGGGTCAGGTTACGGTGGGGCAGGTTGCGTTGGGGTCAGGTTACAGTGGGGCAGGTTGTGGTGGGGCAGGTTACAGTGGGGCAGGTTGTGTTGGGGGCAGGTTACGGTGGGGCAGGTTGTGTTGGGGTCAGGTTACAGTGGGGCAGGTTGTGGTGTTGGGGGTCAGGTTGCGGTGGGGCAGGTTGTGTTGGGGTCAGGTTGCGGTTGGGGTCAGGTTACGGTGGGGCAGGTTGCGTTGGGGTCAGGTTACAGTGGAGCAGGTTGTGTTGGGGGCAGGTTACAGTGGGGCAGGTTGTGGTGGGGGCAGGTTACGGTGGGCAGGTTGTGTTGGGGGCAGGTTACGGTGGGGCAGGTTGTGTTGGGGGCAGGTTACGGTGGGGCAGGTTGTGTTGGGGGCAGGTTACGGTGGGGCAGGTTGTGTTGGGGGCAGGTTACGGTGGGGCAGGTTGTGTTGGGGTCAGGTTACGGTGAGGCAGGTTGTGGTTGGGGGCAGGTTACGGTGGGGCAGGTTGTGTTGGGGTCAGGTTACAGTGGGGCAGGTTGTGGGTGGGGCAGGTTACAGTGGGGCAGGTTGTGGTGGGGGCAGGTTACAGTGGGCAGGTGGGGGCAGGTTGTGGGGCAGGTTGTGGTGGGGGCAGGTTACAGTGGGGCAGGTTG